GTGACTCTCCAGTTGTTAAGCAATTGAGGGAGAAAGAAGAACGAAAGAGACATTTGGAAGAAGACAAACTGAGGAAAAAAGATGAAAATGAGAAAAAGAAAGCTGAACGTGAAAGAAGTAAGCTACTGAAAGAGAAACAAAAAGAGGAATGGATGAAGGAACGTGAAGTCAAGAGAAAACAGAGAAAACAAGCAAATGCCAAAAAGAGAGTGTCATCCAGACGTGTCAAGAATACAAGGAACGAGGAAGGAGACGGTGTGGCGAATGAGGAAGGAGATGGCGTCACAAGCGAGGAAGGCGAGGGTGTGGCGAACGAGGAAGGAGACGATGTGGCGAACGAGGAAGGCAAGGGTGTGGCGAATGAGGAAGGCGAGGGTAGGAGATGGCGTCGCGAGCGAGGATGTGTCGATCGAGGAAGGAGACGGGGAAGAAGATGATTGCCCTATGTGCCACGTTAAAGGACTCACTTGTCAATGGATTTGTTGTGACTATTGTGATACTTGGTTTCATACCCACTGCACTGAAGCAAACCCCAATTGTCTTCCGGATATTTTTTATTGTTCTAAATGTGTGTAAATGCAGTTTTGTAGTGTTTTTCCCCAGTTTTAAAGTGTTTTTTACACTGACCCATAATACATGTGGTGTCCCATGTTGAATGGGAACAGGTGGTACTAAAAAGTTAAACAGCAGATGCAGTGGAGGACTCACTTGTCAATGGATTTGTTGTGACTATTGTGATACTTGGTTTCATACCCACTGCACTGAAGCAAACCCCAATTGTCTTCCGGATATTTTTTTTTGTTCTAAATGTGTGTAAGTGCAGTTTTGTAGTGTTTTTTTCCACTGACCCATAATACATGTGGTGTCCCATGTTGAATGGGAACAGGTGGTACTAAAAAGTTAAACAGCAGATGCAGTGGAGAAAATGCAGTACAGAGAAAAGTTAGAAGTGTGTAGTTTACGTGTGCCTAAAAATATCTTGGGGGTGTGGTCAATTACTATAAATGGAAGTAAATCAAACTAAGTGTCTCATAACTGTAGCAACTACTCTATACTCGCCCGTGCAAGCCGAGCATGAGCCCCTGGCGGAACGGTAAAAATTGAGACCTCGAGTGTACAGACCTATAGCTATCTATCTCAATCCTAGTCTCCTCAGGGTTTTCCTGTGCCGATCCAGGAGGCAACCCCTGATAGATTTTGCTGTGTAAGTAAACCTCGAGCATAAGCGTGTGTATTTGGTAACTTCTGCCATTTAGCACAGCACTTGACAACCTTTCCCTCGGTGAATGACAACACAGTAAGTTAAATTTACTGGCAGTAACATGTACATGAGTGTTTACTTTGCGCAGGTAGCTATATACGATATTTGCAAGAGCAGTGTGTTGAAACAAAGGCAAAAAGACGACGGAGAGGGACAGCTACAGCGTGGCATATCCACCAGACAGTCTAAAGGTACTCAAAGACCACCTATTTTGCCTAGTTTCAAGGGTCCCCCTGAATAGAAAGGGGGAACCTTGGAACGAGGCTACAGTGTAATGTATTTTCCTTTATATAGCTAGCAAGCTGGACCAGTGCTCACAAGAGAGAGAATTGTGTTTCAAGTCTTGAAGAGAGAGCACGTGACGACTGAAACCAGCAGTGAAGATTGCCAAGCCGTGGCTAGAGCTTGAGAAACGGGAGGAGAGGAGAGAAAATACTACATTGTTGGACCTCATAAAAGCCACAACTGGCGGGGCGTTTGCTTGGTGGTCGACCGAGAGAGGCCGCGGTTGTTGGGGAACCATTCTTGTGTCTGTAGGCGTGAAGGTTCCACTACTGATGTGCAGGGAGCATCGTCGTAGGTACACAGGCGCTGAAGCGATTATACGGCCTTCTGTTTGAGAGCGCGAGTAACGGCCGCCGCTCCACCACCGGTTTGTCTCCGGTCAGACACGCCAATCCAACTGATCTCTAGAGTATTATCTTATAGAGCATATTAAGACACTTCCTACAGGTAGTAGCTTCTAGTAAGCAATAGAACTGATCTCTATTGCTGCTTTTACCCATACGCTTGTCGAAATTCGTCGAATATCTTCATTTTCCGGCTTTTTTGACCCGATTTGTCCGCTAAACTTTGTATAATACAATACCGTGCCCATACAAATCTTTGAACCCTTCCCTACAAATATCGAAGTGAGCACCGAGAAAATTCTGAAGCACAACACCAAAACAAGCAGTTTTATGAAGCAAGGCTTCAAAAACTTCATTGAAAATGTACACGTACGATATGGACGAACTGTGTATGAATAAAAATAGGTGTGTCCGCGTACAGGCCCGACGAGGTGGGCCAATTTGTAGCTTATTCTGAAGAGTAGTAACCATAGGTTTCATCTCTAAATGAGCCACCCCTGAGTCCCGAGAAAACTTGCCGTAAAGAAGAGTAATGTCTCGTAATTAACCCTCGGCGCGCATGCGCAGCGAGGGTTACAGTACTTGGGTCTGTCTGTCTGTCTGTGTGTTTGTCTGTTACTCTCTATCTCACTCCTCGAACGTCTGTTCGTCCCAGAAACGATACCATCTACCCAACGGGCGACGAAGGTCAGAAAATAAAGGCGGTTTTCTCTGAAAATGCTCCGTTGCAAAGCTAGAGCACGAAAAAGCCAATATGCAAATACGCAAGGGACGGGATGGCTTACCGCGGTCTGATCGATCCGCGTGCTCTGCGACCTCGGAGGCACCAGAAGATGCAACGCAGGGCGTGTATCGCCTCTCGCATGCTGTCTAGTAGTGTATAGTTAGCCCGCGTCAGACTCTGCGCGAGATGGGCAGAACTAAACCCAGCCCATCAATTAGTGATACAGCGCATGCGTTTACTCACGCGTGCGCGTCACAATGCGCCGAGGGTTTGCACTTCAGTGCTTTTCATTTCTGGTGGTATATAGAAGAATTGGCCACTGAGACGTTAAATATTTCGTGTGCGCGCATATATACGGTATATAATTAATTATTCATGAGTCTCCGTCCGGGTTTCCCAGCCACCACTTCGGAGATCCACTAACGGGAAGTAGTTACTGGCACATTCCTTACTGTACTAAACAATACAGTGATGTCCCAACGCAACTGAGCAGCTGCGTATCTTACCATACCGCAAAAGGAGTACAAAGAACCGCATAGTTTGGACATCACACTGAAGCCCTGTAAGATTTCCTGCGCAGTGCACTAGAAACGGAGTAAAACAGTTGTGAAAACAAAAGCGTTTAGTGGCGCCACTCCAAAATGAAATAGCAGGGGAAAAGGCAGTACAAAATATGTATAAGAAACAGCTCGATCTCCACTGTCGTGTGTGTGTGGAGGAAGAGCCAAGAGAGCCAGATCTGGAAGGGCCACTTGACAGTACACCTGCCTCTCACAGAAGGAAGTGTTTGGCATCTCTGTGGAGGAAAATGACCATAGCACACATCCAACATTCACTCATGCTACGATACCATCAGTAAGCACCGCACACCATCAGTCAGGCCCTTTCAGTGGATGGTACATCAAACAGAGAGCTGCAGTGTGCAATAATCTGTAATCGGCTTTTTAAAAAAAACACAAATTAGGTATGCGACCACTTCGAAACGACAAGGAGAGCCGTGGGCGGCCAGTGAATGCGTCCTCTTTCCTCGACCACATCAGCAAAGTTGCTCCGCCACCTACAACTACACCTCCCATCCTAGAGCCAGCAGATGGACTTTGCATGGCAGGGGCACACCTTCTCCATCAACCACTGGCATTTCCATGTGGTCATCACATATGTGCTCAGTGCCTGCGGCGCGAAGCCAAGTCGGCCCACACCCTCCACTGTACATCATGTGACACAACTCACGAACTGGTTCCTGAGTCAGCTACATCACCATCATTTCTCTTTCTCAGGAAAGAAATGCACTATGAAAAGCACCCGATCAATCAGCATTGACGGCCGGCACCTTGGATTCAGCACTCGCAAATGAGTGGGCGTGGCACCCGGAAGTCATGTGACTACAAATCCAGCCTCTCACGCGTCTCTAAACATTATTGCGCAGCAGGATATATACCGCGTCTTCTTTAGTCACCAAAACTAATGTCGCGTCTTTACATTTTTTGCGCAGCGCGATATAGTGGCGTGTTATAATATAATGCAGCGTCTTTACTACGCTATGCGCATGCCTTCCATTTGGCGGTGAATACGAATATTGGCGGGAGATCGTAGGTTATCCGATGTGTGCAAGATGGCTTTACTGGAAATTGGCCCTGTCGTGTTTGGTGGAACACCTGGGATTATCCAGTATATGAGGACTCATCACCTGCTAGCAACACAGCAGAACTGTAGCGTAGCTATGCGAGAGAGACCAAGAGCAGACGTTAGTGATGGAGTTAGCTGGTGGTGTCCAACTTGCAAGACTAGGAAGTGGCAGTTTTGTTTGAAAAATCTCACATCACCCTGCAAAAGTGGCTGCTTCTTTTGTACCTCTGGTCACGGGAGTATGCTGTTACTATCCTCTGAATCCCTATCCTCAACTCGTATAACCACTTTCCTTTAATATTACTCAGGTTTTTACACACCGACATTTCATTATACCTGTAACTGATAAAGGTGTCACCAATGCTCTTGTGGATCTGCTCTTGGTTTAGCTCCTGGCGTGGTTGGAAGACGTGGTTCAGGGGCGGATCCAGTCATGGGGTCCAGCTGACCCCCCCTTCAACCACAGCTTCATCGACCTGGCAGCCAGAGACCCCACCACCGTCCACCAGGGCACGACGCTGCAACCGCGAATCGCTCTAGCTGCGAAGGACCTACTCTAAATAACGCACTAGTGTAAAGGTCATGTATTGTAAGAGGCCAGGGTACTCCAATTTCTGGACACGTGATCGTGGATTTTTTTGCCATGCACACACATGCACACATTTACTGTCATGATTTTTTTGGGTGCTAATCATCCCATGATTTGTCATTGTCGAGAAATTGATGGTTCCTTTGTAGTCACATGACTTCCGGGTGCCACGCCCACTCATTTGAATCCAAGAGGGGCGGTCAATGGCAATTGATCCGCCAGACTAGTGCGTGATCAGAGTTGTTGTCTGCCTCGCTATGGGGAAACGCTTGAAACCCTTGAAGCTACTGGTAATTTGTGTCCCTGCATCCATTGTACTTAGTGCGCTTATTGTGTACGCGACAAGGAGTCGCTTCACGTGTGAAGTGACTGGGATTGATAATAACCTGGACCTGGATGAACACGATGTTCAGGAAGGAAAGGATGATCTCCGTTCCAACAGTACATGGAACCCCTGTACATTTGACATCTGTTTCAACCTAGAGAAATGTCCACTCACTCGCCCATTCGCCACCTACGTGTACAATGATCTGCTTACGTCTTCCTCGAACGAAAATCCATTTTCTCCTCAACTTTTAGTAGATGTCTTGAAGGAGACAGGTTCGTACACCTCTGACCCAACTAAAGCATGTGTGTTTTTCAGTATTCTTTGGAACAGAGAAAGAGAAATAGAAAACGTTGGCCACCTGGAGACACAAATTCACTCCCTGGCACAGTGGGGGGAATATGGTGAAAACCACATTCTGGTTGAGCTGTCCACTGACCAGAGCCCTGGCCGCAGCATGCTGGAAGGTGTTTCAACAGGAAAGGCTATCATTGCACGGAGTGTCATCTCACCAGCCAAGCCGTTCAGTACAGGCTTTGACATCCTTCTCCCTCCACTCAGGACGGCAGAGGCAGACTCGATGGATTTGCTATCCCCTCTCCTTCCTGTATCCCGAGACACTTTTATCCACTTCCACGGAGAACACTCTCCACATCAACACCCAGGCTCTGGTGCTATCACTCCACAAGACATCAGAAGTCTCCAGCAGCTCTTAAAAGGTAAAGAAAGAGTGGACATTCAGCTCCAGTGCCAACAGCCAGCCACCGGGAAGACAAAGAGGGCAGTGGAGGGGCAGTGGATGTTGTGTGGAGACCAGAAATCTCGACTTGAGCTCTGTTCCAAGTCTATGTTCTCCCTCGTCCCAAGTCCAGGTGGCGCTAACGCTGGAACAGGAGTCGGTATCTATACTAGACTGATAGAGTCTCTGATGTGTGGCTCTATACCAGTTGTCGTTGGAGTAGGGGTTCTCCCATTTGACGAAGTAATTGACTGGAGTCGGGCAGGACTCATCGTTCCTTCTGGCCGGTACTCTGATATCCTCTACATCCTGCGTAGTGTTAGTTCAGGTGACATTCAGAACTTCAGACTCAAGGGCCGACATTTGTGGTACACCTACTTCAGCTCTCCACTGAGGGTTGTCCAGATTGCTGTAGCCATAGTGAGGTCACGGACTCTCCACCCACCTCCCCCTGCTCCTCACTTTGTTGGGAAGCAGCTCCTTTACTTCCCTGCCCCCCACCACAAGCAGATTACCTCTCCTTCCTTCACCAATAGTTTCACTGCCTACTCGTGGAGTTTCTGGAATGATATCCCAGGTCCCCTGTTTTCCTACCCTTCATCCCCCTTCAATCCTGGATTGCATTTCAGTAGATTGAACGAGGTCGCAATTTCTCACAGTGCGTCGCAGTCAGCGAAAGGACGAGCTGCCATAGAGTCAACTTTCAAGAAAAATTTTCTTGTGAATGTACCTCCTGAGCAGTTTACTGTGGTGATAATAACTTACAAAAGGAACAAAGAACTGATGGAGGGGCTTGCACACCTTAAAGGGATTCCTTCCCTAAACAAAGTGGTAATTGTCTGGAACAATGAGGATGACCCATCTGCTGACCTGAAGTGGCCCGATATTGGAATACCTATTGTGGTGAGTAAGTAGCTGTCCAAATTTGCATCACTAATAACCCGCCATACACCCAAGACCCTAAGAGGATGGACTCTTAGTGGGGAATTGTTGGAAGCACTGCTCTTTCCATTGTCATTGTGGTTGAGCAACCACAATGTATATGCAGTGGGTCCCCTGTTTGTATCATGCCCACAGTGCTACAATAGGGGTAGGGCCCAATGTATAGACTGACCCCAATTAACAGCTAAAACTAAACCCAGCCCATCAATTAGTGGTACCGCGCATGCGTTTACTTACGCTTGCGCTTCACAATGCACCAGCCCGGGTTTGCACTTCAGTGCTTTTCCCCTCGGCGCGCATGCGCAGCGAGGGTTACAGTAGTTGTGTGTGTCTGTCTGTCCACTGCAGGCTACGAGGTGGCCGAAGAGCGATACCAAACGCTTCAGTGCTACAAGCGCATGAAAAATATAATGGCGATTTTTCTGAAACGACAGCGTTCGAGCGCGAGAAACTGACACATCCCAGACCACGTCAACCCATCAATTAGTTGTGCAAAGGCTTACCTAGTCTGGTGCCCAGACCCTTCACAAAGTATAAGCGCACGCACGTAACCGCATGCGTGAGAGCGGAAGAAGGGTCTGGTAAAATAATAACCAGAGGAGGTCGGACATGCGCAGGGACTGCGTCATTGTAAATGACATTTATGCTGACACAGCAATTTCTTTCCCGTAAAGAATGTATGGTGAGATAAAAGAGCGTGCTGTAGCAAAACCAAGCGGGATTCAGAGAGGATTTGCAACTCTGGTAAATACTTCTCTCCGTCCCTCGCACATGCGTTTACGCGTGCGCGTATATTTTGTGAAGGGTCTGAGCTAAGGCTTACCTCGACCGGGTCTGCTTGGTCTGTGTACCTTGGAGGCACAAGAATATGGCGTGTAAACAGTGTCAGAAATAGTACGCATGCGCGGTCGATGAGGAGGTCGGTCCACTTTACTATTAGAGGTCGGTCTATATTTAACACACACCCTCCTCTCCACAGGTTGTCCGTGGTAAAGGTAACAGTTTGAACAATAAGTTTCTGCCCTACAAGGAGATAGAGACCGAAGCTGTGTTGCAACTTGACGATGATGTCCTTATGGCTCCTGAGGAGATAGAATTTGGTTTCAGGCAAGTCTATGTGCTTGGTGTATAGAGTTTGCATGGCACCTGCTGTATATACATGTGTGTAAACGGTATGGTCAGGATCACAATCCAGATCAACTAATCCTACTCCAGGAGGTGGATTAGAAATGGATTTAGCTCATAGCTGAACAGTGCGTGTACATACTTTTACTTACTACATCGCTACTGTAGATCCTGTAGCCCTTCCAATGAACGACGCCATTTGCTGCTAACTCAGCAATCGGCAGTTCAGGGGGCGTTTCCTGACGATGTGCATGCGCAGCGAGTGCGTTCCGTAGTGCAACCTCTATCTCGGTGGTAGCTACGTAGCTACGCCTCCGTTCGCGCAGAGCCAGCTAGTATACCTTAGAGGGGATAGTTCCGCGAGACTATGATTTGTTGTTTGCGTGAGGAGAAACTTCTCGAGAGCCACTTATGCATTGCTAGACACTTTCTACTGTTTGTCAGAGCTTTTCATAAAAATAACGGAAACAAGTGGAAAAATCATTTCTTCAAAATGAAGGGGGATATAGGGATGGCTCAAAGCATGGCAAAGTAATAAGTAATAAACAAGGGGTCATTTCACAGCTAAAGCTACACGACACCATCCCTACATCTTGTCCATACGCAAATAATTATGAGAATATATATTCTTGCGATACCCATGTACCTGATTATTAGGGAGATTGCTCCCTCTAGCTCATGTAGGGCCTTGCTAGTGTTATTGTCTGAGATTCTCCAAGTACACTGGGTGACACATTCTAGTGTGCTCTGGGTCTCACATCATGCGCCACTTCAGTAAAGCAAGGCCACTAACCTCCTGACTGTCGGACACATACACAATCCAAAATGTTTTACCATCTTAGATAGGGGCTGTAGGGATTCGGCATAGTTTTCTTCGGACCATATTTGGGCACGGCTGTGGACCCGCCGCCATTTTCAGCTGCAAGGTCGGTCGGACCGAACGCTCGTTCTCTTCAACAATTGTACCATTGCAGACGTCCTTAGCGAAAAGTACGCAGATGAGATGGTTATGAACCGCCTAAAAACTACTGCGGTCAGTCGTCCTTCTCTGCTGAGTCAAGCAGTGAGTAAACGCACTGCGTAAAGAACGCTAATTCGGGACAGTCTGTGTCTCCTTTAGCGCTCCAGAAAAGTTGTAGGCAGCCTGGAAACGAGTGGTTTAACCATGTAATCTACCCACTGATGCTTCGTGCATGCTAAATTCGCCACTTGTTGTTAGAGTTAACGAAGCTAACCTTCCTGTACTCCGAGCAGCTCATCACAAGGCTGTTTTCAAGGAGAAAAGTCGTGGAGAAAAGTCGTAGAGTAGTTCTAGGACAGGACTCAACGTGCTTCAGACATCACTTCCTGTATATTTCACAGGTCATCCTTGTTATTTCACAGGATATCCTGTACGGTAGATATGCTATCAGTTGGTGGTTATACTGAATAAACTGTGGGCAGCGCCTTTGAAAGTACGCACTACCGTGGTATAAGCCTATATACCACGCATGCGCAATGATTGAAATTTAACCCTATGGACAACAGGCATGAAAAACCCTGTACGGTGCATACGATCGTAACACTCACGTCACAACTTTCACTCTGGAAAACTTCCGAGTTCCACTATGGGAACCTTTCATCTGGCTGCAGTGTTATGGCACACACGCTGTGGATGGATGATACAAGTATTGGGGCAATATAAGTTTGCACTTTCTCATATATATGTACATGTCACATGAGCAAGAAAGTGCATAAAAGAGATTGGTGAACACATCTTAAATTTGGCACCCTCTCTCCCTTTGCCTCCCCTATCTATACACATGACACCTTGATGAGTATTTGTTATGTGTGTGTACATTCTTAGCAATACAGCGTGAGCTTGCCGACACTCAGTATGTAATAACTGTGCTTTGCACTTCTGTGTCTAATCCACAGAGTTTGGTGTGAAAATCGGGAACGAATGGTGGGGTTTTTTGGTCGCTCTCACATATATAATTTCAAGGACAAGAGGTGGAACTATGGAAAAACTAACTGCATGTTCTCCATGAGCCTTACTGGTTGTACCTTCATACACAAGGTATATTATTATGAGCTGTTTACTTCCCTCCCTAGGGACATCCACAACCACACATTAGGTACTATTTAAATTACCTGTAAGCCTCGTGCCTTATTAGGCTCAAAACACATTCCTCGTACAATATTTTGTGATTCCCACTACTGAACACTCTACTGAGTGGGCACGTAAGAATTTTGACACCTTGGCTAAAAATCTAATGCGTTTTACTGGAGGCGAACGTGTTCCCACCATGGATAATTCACTACGTTTACGTGCGTACATGGTTCCTGCTGACTTGCTCAAGATGTGAAGCTGTAGAGCTAGAATGCGAATGGTGTGTCATTTCGTGATGAAGGAAAACGGCTCCGCGTATCCTCCAGCTATTCTATGAACCCAATTTATTTGAAAAGTTTGACATTATTTTGGAATGGAGCTGTATAATAATTATAGAACAGTTCATTGTGTAAAGTGTGCTTTATGGTAAATTTAGAACACTTTCTCCTTTGATGTTTGGTGGCAATATACAATAATAGGCCTTTGCAGATAATGTTCAGTATAAATTATCGAAAAGCACTAAAGTGCAAACCCTCGGCGAACTGCGCATGCGCAGTACTGCTAATAATTGATGGGCGAGACTATTAGTATGCGTTTACTCGTGGTCTCTGACAGCCAGTCGATAGCATGCGTGAGTCAATACACGCCCTCCGTTGTGACTTCATGTGACTTGAAGGTATATACACACAGTAAGCGAACCCGGTCAAGCTAAGCCTGTGCTAATTAGCATATTGGCTTGTTCACTTGGTTTTCTTGCCGTAACTTTCGAATGCAGCATTTTTACCAAAATTGCTATTTTTAAAATAAAGTCAGTGTCACACTGAACCCGTTAGTAGCGCTTTTTTCCCGTTTTGTTGCGCGTAGCGGCAGAAAATGAGGTAACAGAGAGACAGACGGACAGCAGACAGACGGAATGACATACCAAGTACTATAACCCTCGCTGAGCATGCGCGCCGAGGGTTAATTACCTATATACAGTGGTATAAAATACCACCCATGCAATGACTCTGCCACTAACACAGAGTCACTAAGAAACTAGTTTTGCTTGCCTCCTAGACCTATATGTACCTGTACTCCTACTTGATGCCAAAAGAAGTGAGGGCGAGGGTGGACCACATCATGGACTGTGAAGACATTGCCATGAACTTCCTTGCTGCACATCTCTCCAGAAAACCACCCATGAAGGTCTGTGCAAACAGTTTTTTAAAATGTGTAAATATACATACGGCACGTACCAGCTGATACTTTTGTTACTATAATACCACACGTACAAAGTATCTCATTGTGCAAGCCACTGATAATCATTATCTGATGCTCTTTAACGGAGACTGAGGGAAAAACCTGTGTGTCTCATGCTTAGGAAATGGAAAATGAGTCATAGCTGTACTTATTATTGTCAGTTTGAATTATGCAGCTGTAGAATTTTTACGCCCACTCGAGAATCATCAATGGCCGATATGAATGAATAGGTGAAGTGTTAGTGTGCATGTTCAGAATCAGTTATCACTAAGTAAGGTATATACTTAGTACAAGTGGAAAAATCTTTTCTTCAAAATGAAAGGGCGATATAGGGATGGCTTGAAGCACCAAAAAGGAAGAAACAAGGGATCATTACACAGCAGAGATGCACAAAGCTACATGACACCATCCCTATAACTTTGTCTGATATTGAACTTTACTTGTGAACTATAACACAAAGAGATAGGGATGGTGTCATGTAGCTTTGTGCATATTTGCTGTGTAATGACCCCTTGTTTCTTCCTTTTTGGTGCTTCAAGCCATCCCTATATCCCTCTTTCATTTTGAAGAAATGATTTTTCCACTTGTTTCCACTATTTTTCATGCCTTATGACATCACTTCATTTTCAGTCACTCTGATGTTCATGGGTGTTGTAGAGGTAACTGTTGATCGTTACAGGGGAAACAAGGTATGCAGGGTGCTTATGCACTAGTTCGGGGTGGTTCAAGCACATCGAACCTCGTCGAACCTTCTTGAACCACATCATTACAAAGATAGCAAGGTGTGTAGAGTTTTGTCATGAAAGCAGAAGGTAGCTAATGGGCTGCTCCTACCTGAAGCAGGGTGTATGCGTAGTGTCTCCAACAACGGTTGTGTGGCACATATGGTGGGGTGGTTTCATAGGCAGGCTCAGTAATCAGACTACCTATAACCAGGGGGGACAAACAATGAAGGCACTGGGCAAGGCCAGAGTAACACGGCGCACACTGCCATGTTGCTGCTCGTGCAAATACCAAGCTAGCCAGTTAAAAATGTGTATACTGACTTACAGAAGGCACTGGAGGATAATTAAGAGTTCCTCTGCAGCTTAGTCTGGTTGTTCACGCACGGGACTATATGCGCGCGCACCGCATTGGGGAAACGCCCTCCTCGGCACTGATGCAGCAAATGGCGTTGTTCAGTGACTACTGTGGAAGAGCTCCACGATCTACCGTAGTGACTTGCGGCAAGAAACAAGCGATCGCTTGATATGCGTGCACACCTCCGGAAAATTTGGAGACGTTCTGTGAGAAAATGAACACTTCACTGCTTCCGGTAAGGAGCTAGCGGGTCTGATAAGAAGAAGAAATGAATATTATCGCAAATCGCGATACAGAGCGAATTCTTTGGTGGGGCACTGAGGGCACGTAGGAAGTCTTGGGGCATATGTATAACTAGATATTGACCTCTGGACTATTGCTAGTGATGTTTAAGCCATGGTGAGTCATTCTCGCTGAGTTTTGAGGCGTTTTGTCGTGAGATTTCACTCGTGTCATCCCTATCATATAGAGCGTCTACCGACACTCTGATAATGGATGGGCATAGTAAACCTAGCATATATGGGCTATTATGTTGGGAACGTTTTTCATCTTCTTCAGATTCAACACACGTAACTAAAAAACTAAATAACATATAGTCATGAAATTCTGTAAGACTGTAGATATCCATAACCAGATGTTCATGGTCATACCTTTTTGTTTGTAAAACATTGTTTTTTACTGTAAACAATGAAAAAGCACTAAAGTGCAAACCTTCGGCGCAAAACGTGCCCGTTGTAGCGTTGCTGTATGCTGGACCATGTGTCGTCGACGGGGCCTCCCCGCAACACAGGCTAGATGCATCAGAGGGCTTAGCAGTTACAGCAATTGCTCAGGTGTTTCAGAGGCTCTCACATTTGCTTTATTCAATCTCTCTGCTCTTCTGTGTTTCAATGCTTGCGACATACTGCCTTTTAGCGTTTAGATGGAAGTCATGGCCGCATCCACAAACTGCTCCTCTCATGTGAACTGTTATGCTACATTGCTGACATACCTTTCTCAGCTTCTTATCCATTCTTGGGAACAAAGAGAACAGAGATCAAAAGTGACAGAGGAGAGACACTCAAGCTTGCCCGGCTGTCGGATCCTATGCAACTGCGTGGCGTATGCGCATGCTCCTGACATGACGCGTGCATGCCAGCGTAGCCTGCTGGCGATGGCACGTGCGCGATCAATCACACGTTGGCTTTTTCGCTTGTTCTCACGCCATATCTCTGGAACGCAGTCGTTTCAGGAAAATCGCCACATTAATATCAATGTTCTCGTTGCTCAAAAGCCGTTGTTGCCCCTCATTGGCCGCCTCGTAGCCTGTAGTGCGAGAACTCGCACAGACAGACGGACAGACAGACAGACAGACAGACAAACAGACCAAGTACTGCAACCCTCGCTGCGCATGCGCGCCGAGGGTTAACAACAAATAGCCCCAGGATAATGGGGACACATGTGTCAGTGTAAGTCACAAATGGTAAGAGCTATGCAAACGAAACTTTGTATGTATAATGTATTTCAATAACCAACATCAAAGACACAACATAATTATTTGTAGACAACAACAAATAGCCTCAGGCACTTTTCTTAAAGTTACATCTTCACTCCTCAAACTTGCAAACAGTACCACGCATTGATATAAAACTTGGTACACATGCGGGTAACATCATCTCCATGACGACTACATGTTTACCTACATGTTTGTAAACAACAACAAATAGCCTCAGGCACTTTTCTTTAAAATTACAGTGGGTCCCGGTTAATATCATACCCACTGTGCATCCAAAAAATATTATAATATGCGGGATATTCTACAATGCGGGTGTGTATATATATAGGTTACACTATGCCCACGAGACGGTTTAGTGGACATGTGCAGCACGAGTAGTGTATGCACTAAACCGTCAAGTGGGTGTAGTGTAACCAATTTGTACCACAGGAATGCGCACTAAGACAACTTATTAGTATGCATGCCTTGGTGTATGAGAGCTCATACACCACATGTGAGTGTATGGCTGAGTCAGCACACCATACACCATGGCATGCATACTAATGAGTTGTCTTTGTGCGCATACACTGCATGCGGTGCCTTTGATTTCTAGGGCCTCTGTGGTACAAACCAACGTATACTTTGACCCAGATAGCGCACAATGCAGTTTGTTTAGCTAAGCTAATCAAGCTAGGCTAGGCTAAGCTGTTTTTACATAAGCTAATGGAAGCCAGGTGGAGAATGGAGTTACAAAACTCCAGTAGAATACCTAATGACGCATGCGCATAATGACAATACACGGGCAAGAACCAAAATTGCCCAATTTTTCTATGGTAATAGGCGGGATATGACATTATTCGTATTCTATAAAACGGAGTAAAATGTATGGGAAAACATAGGAAATGGATGGATCGTCTTCTTCGTGGGAATGTTCCCTATTGTCAAAGTGTTAGCAAAATAATATAATTGAAGCATGTACTTTCAAAGGGGATATTCTATTAAACAGTATGATATTAAGTGGGACCCACTGTACTTCTTCACTCCTCAAACTTGCTAACTGTAACACGCATGGAGATGAAACTTCGTACGCAGCTATGCATGCATATTACATTCTTTCCATGACGACCATATATTGTATGAACAACAACAAATAGCCCAGGCACTTTTCTTTAGAATTACTCTCTCTCACCATCCTCCAAGCTGAAGACGTTGTGGTATATACCCAGCGAATAATTCCAGCAGTGTCCGCTTCTCTTGTTGTAGCAGCTCCAAGAGTTTCTCTTTGCGGTCCCTCTCATCTTCGTGTGCCTCCTCTTCTGCATGGATTGTCACGGTGAAGGTTCTTGCAGGGTAATGCTCAGGTGACTCAACAACCATAGCTGGGGTGGCGCCGCCAAGGTACTCTCCAGATGATGTGTAAATCCAGTTGAGTTCGATAGTAGGATTAGGCAGGCTTCATCTCTAGTGCGATCGATCACGACATCCTCAGCACGGATGCAAAGATACTCTTCCACATCCTGTCGGTACTGGAGAAGGAGCGGCCTGGGTTGAGAGTAGTCAGCTTCAGGGGCAACTTGGGCCATCACAGACTGATAAGGAGGTGTACTCGTACAGACGTAACCAACCTGACATGGACTATCGGTACAATTGCATCGTCTCAAGGGGTCTCAGTTTCACAGGAGACAGTCGTTGGGGACGTAGAACTCTAACAGTCTGGTCCCGGTCTGTCTGAGCCGTAGGTGTTCAACGTCTGGAGAGTCTTGTACCGTGTTGGAGGGTTGTCCAGTTTGCTGTCCCGCCTTCTCCCTTTCTGGCATGGTGTCAGTAGGCGGTGGTGCTTGAGTACCAGACCAACTCAGTACACTTTGATGACACTTCACTTGTCCTCTTGTATTTTGCAAGTTCTGATAGTCCTTAGTCTCCTCAGGAAATTGAAGATCCTTTTGGTCGGCTGCTGGAGACTTTCCGACAATCAAACTAGCGAATTCTTTCCGCCAATCCAGAGTCAGAGGCTTTACCTTCCACTGTCAGTGTCATCCAACTACACAGACACATCACAGCAGCTAGCAGGTGCCGTGGTCGGGAGTAGTTTACCACTAGCATTTTCCACAGCTAGAGGACCTCGCACTGTAAGACAGGGTGCAGCGTGAGCACGAGTTTTACTATGGTCACAGCAGTGCCACCCAGACAGTACACTTTGATGACACTTCACTTCAGGCTTCTGTTGTGTCCTCTTGTATATTGCAAGTTCTGATAGTCCTTACTCTCCTCAGGAATTGCAGATCCTTTTGGTCGGCTGCTGGAAACTGCTGCCTCCTCACCAACAATTGGAGGCTTGAAATTTGGCTTGGTGGAATCCTGTTCTCCTTTCAAGTCTTCTTACTGGATACCGAGGAGTGATGCGTGATTATTATTTGCTGGCAACACACACCCTCCCCCAGCAACAGCTCATCTTCTGCCTCGAACTTGATGTAGACAGGTGTTCACGCTGTGATACCGTTGAAACTAATGTCAAGATCTACATGTCCATTCAGTCAGAACAGGCTCTCCGCGAGCTACTAGCGGGAGACCACGGATACTAATAGCCCAGCCCATCAATTAGTGGCATCGCGCATGCGCAGTTCGCTGAAGGCTTGCATTTCAGTGCTTTTTCATAATAACCCTTCATTTTGATATCTGTCTTTTAATTTGCAGGTACAAATTCTGATTTCCACTGTGCGGGATGCAAAGCAAACATATCCAAGAAAAAGTACTTTTTTCATGAGCGCAGTGTCTGCATCCAGTTCTTAACTCGTATTTATGGCTACCAACCTCTTCTCTACACCCAGTCTCGTACTGATCCTGAGACAACTGAGATCCCCTTCAGTGAATGAATATGGAAAATGTTTCAAGCCGACCTGACGGCGTTTAATAGCTGGCCATCCCAGCACGCTTGTGACTAACTCTAGATAAACTCCCTAACTGCATGGATTCATAAAACTGCTTACCTAAAAAGATAGAACGTGTTTTGTTTATCGCGGCCATATCCGCCATTTTGTTCCTTTTCCATGATTGACACGCGCATGCATTTTGTGATACTACGCGCATGCGGATGCAGTAGAGCTTGGAGACTCCCACTCCACTACTTTGGCCTAGCGGCTCTTCGACAAGCACACTGCTTTCGGATATCTACTACGAGTTTTTTTTTGTTGGCATAATTATCATTTATACATGATATTATACACAGTTAGTACGACAACATGAGGATTGCTTATCTTAAGTTGTACTTGCGTACAATACTGAACACCACAACAGGGCACAAACGCTCAGTACAACAGGAAGCATCGTTGTGGTATAAACAGGAAGGCAAGCGGAGTATTATCAGAGCCTGACCCTACCACGCCTTAGCATCGTTTGACAGGAAGCCAAGCCGGATGTGATGTGTTATTGCTGAGCGCCTTAGCGCGAGGCGCGCTAGGTCAGTGCGCGAAGCCGCGTTCGGTCAGTGTAATTATGTGTACGTACGCTCTTCTACGCATGCGTGCGTGGACGTGACGCGTCACAGGTCGTCAGCGGGTTTTTCGAAAAGTGCTTGATTGAAGTAGACTCCGATGCGAGTGGTCAATCAGCATGCTCAAACTGATCAAAACATCCTTGAGCAGCACTATGACCCAGGACCGACTATAGTTGCTATGATGGCGATATAGACATTGATCCGCAAGACGTTGTTAAAGAATTTTAACAGCGCCATCCTTGCTGAATGTTGCTTGAGTAAACTCCTGGTTACTATGTGATGTGCCTATTACTATGAATATTTCAATCAAAAAGAGGCACATTGTAGCTAGAAAAACGGGAATGCGCGACAGGATCTTTGCGCATGCGCAGCCGTTGGCTGGTAATACCACAAGGATGCTTGCTGATGTACTGAGCGTTTTTGCCCTGTTATGGTGTTCAGTATGGGCCTACCCAAGTAAAACTGAAGGTAGGCAATCGTCGTGTCTATTGCTGCAAACGGGGTTTGGTTATAAATGGGATATATAAGCCCAATGCAACGACATTAATCAGCTAGCTGCACGAGCCGCATGGTCATTTTAAAACTTTACAAATGCAAATATCATTTCTTCAAAATGAAGGGGATATAGGGATGGCTCAAAACATGAAAAAAGGGTAATTATACAGCTAAGACATGCAGGGCTACATGACTTTGTCTCATTGTTTTTTTGCCTATGAATCAATAGAAAATGATATTATGAAATAGAACAAAGATATAGGGATGGTGTCATGTTATAGCTTTGCGTGTCTTAGCTGTGTAATGACCCCTTGTTCTTCCTTTTTCATGTTTTGAGCCATCCCTATTCCCCCCTTCATTTTGAATAAATGATTTTTCCACTCGGTTCCATAATTTTGTGTAAACAATTACTGACTATGGTCACTCTGATTTGCATAGATGTAAAGGAGTTGAATGAACTGATTCAAGTTGTTGGCAACTGCCTGCACATTAGAATCTAGCATGATGAGTTAGGGAGGAAGGGACACTGAAATACCAGCATAGTATATGCAGTAACTAATGGCATGAAGGGGCAGTATAATAATATAATATAGCTACCCAGGGAGACAAAGACTGACCAGCTAGAGAGGTAGCTAATTAGGTTGTAGTGTCATTGTACACAGAGGTGATTTCATGGGCACCCCTTAGTATGGGGCAAAAACAATGGAAAGTAACGCAGATTCTCATAATTGTTGCTATTATCCTGCTGGTCTAACAATGCACACGCACTGTCATGAATGTAGTCTCGGGGAGCCAGCCCCTCTAAAAGAGCTAGGTCCTCGAGACCAAACAAAATGCAGGTTAGATAGTTGTATGCAGCCGGTAAACTTACAGCCTGCTGGCGTTGCCGTCCCGCACGTACACTGTTGTGCGCGTGCATCAGGTAACATCCCTGTTGCAGCAAATGGCGTCATTGAGAGTCTACCATGGAAGGGCTACAAGAGATACAGTAGCGATGTGCAATGACAAAGAAACGATCGTTATCATGGTACATCAGTGTACCAAGTTGGATTGTGAGAGGAGCCACCATAAGCAAGTTATAGAAATTAGGGGTCAGTCAGCACATTCTTACGTATACGAAAACATTGCAGCATCTCAGAGTTGCTAACTCATGATGCTGCAATTATTTTGTTATGGGTGTCTCTTTCTGGTAAATATTATTACAGCAAAGAAAATGGATAGGAAAGGATCTCCATTTTTGTGCAAATCAGATCAAGTCGACTTTTCGGATAGTCTTATACTTTTATCTCAATTGTAATCATTATAAACTGAGACAAGCCTATAGCAATACTCATTAACCCTCGGCGCGCATGCGCAGCGAGGGTTACCGTACTTGGTTTGTGTGTCTGTGTGTCCGTTCACGTTTTCTGCCACTAGACGCAACAAGATCGCCAAAACTCTACACCAACGGGTTCGGCGCTACATTTGCTTGATTTTAAAACTGGCGATTTTCGTAAAAACACTGCGTTCAAAAGTTATGGCAAGTGAACCGGCCAATATGCAAATTAGCACGGGCTTACCTCGACAAGATGTGCTTGATCTGCGTACCTTTGAGGCACAAGACGTCACAACGAAGGGCGTGTATCGACTCCCGCATGCTATCTACTACTGTAGCTAGCCCGTGTCAGACTCTCCGTGTGCTACAAGAATATATACATGGCTATAATACAGACTAGGTGCTAATATGTTATACATATACACCTATGGCGCCCAAAGGGTTTTAATGCAAGGAAATTTAAACAAAAAGGCACTTTTCTAAAACCTATTAGAGTGTATTTTTTTGTATTGAGGACAACATCCTACGATGGTTTAATCATGCAATTCAGACGCCATTACTGACAAATGCATCACATGGTCTATTGTTACATGTGTGCAGTGCTGCCAACCATAGGATTGGATATTTATGCTCTGGTACAGAACTGAATCAGAATGAAAAGCACTTGAAAGTGCATAACCCTCGCCACTCATAATTATGGAGGTTCAATAGCAGAGACTGCTCTTCCTTTAAAATCAAGAAGCATTTATATAGCCATAGCTAACATCCTATCTCTCATTTTGTGAACATTATCCTGTATTAAACTTTATTCCAATCATCCTTGCCCACATTATTCTGGACATGCGTTTTCAATACTAGTTACTACTATATACAGCAAAGTGAAAAGCACTTGACAGTATATACATAACCCTCAGTCACCACTTTATTCTTTATTTCAGCAACCAAGCTACCTGGCTAGTGACTCCTTCACTGAACAGATTCGCCTTCCTGGCTCTCACTTCACTGGCAATCTCGCTCCTACTCAACTGTCTTTATCTCTATTTGACGCACACTCACCTCGGCAGCTCTCCGTTTCGCCCGCTTCCCCGGCCTTCTCCGCTCCAGAATCTTATTTTACCATGCATGCCTCCTACTTGATAACATGCGCTCAGAGTTGCCGCGGTTACCGAGAAAAACGGTGGACAGACGGACGGACGGACAGACGGACGGACAGACGAACACACGGACACACACACACACACACACACACACAGAGCAATAACCCTCCGCTGCGCATGCGCGCAGCGAGGGTTACCAACCTATGTAGACAAGCCTAGAGTTGTGTGTATCATCACCTCTTAGTAGGCCACCCTTTATGTACTGCACACCGAGTTTTGATAATTTGCAAGGAAATATAAAAAAAAAGGCATAACTCTAAAACCCCCATTAAAGTGAACTTTGCTTAACCACGTCTGGGTCTGCTATTGAGCTTCTTTTGATACACACAGAGATACCAAGAAAATCAATAATATCTTACGTGCTAGTCTAAGTGTGTGCATGCAAATTTTCCTTGTTCTATGTCATAGAGGGAGGTTTCAGATTAAGCGTAGTGGACAGACAGACAGACAGACAGTACTGTAATTACCCCTCTAGTGAGGGATCAGACAAAGATGTGTGAATGGTGGCATTTGCTATTATAACCACAAATTGGTTAGTGTTTTTGCGCCACCTACTTGTCTAAATAGTAGTTGCAATGGCACCATTTTATCCAATGCACATGTGAAACATCTTCTTGTACACCAGTTGACCCCTCACTCGCCAAAAAATGCATTCTGCATAACTTACAAAGCTATCCGTGCCAGCAGTTATGGGCTTACGTTATTCTCTGTTTTTTCAGTCTGTTCCATTAGTGGGAGTATTCAAATGTTGGGAAAAATGTAGTAAGATGCTCAAAGTGATTTGTAAATCAACTGGTGGTAGTCCACTGACAATGTCTGTCACTGGACCTTCTGGTTATGTGGAGAACATGACTAAAATTGTTGAAGTCAGTGACATTAAGGGAATGGGTAAAGACATTTTTTCAGCTGAAGTGAACTGGACAAACTGAGCTCATGGAGATATGTATGTGTGTTTTGCATCTAACGGAGTGTCTAATGTTTCAGATGTTGTTTCATTGAAAGGTATGTCTGTTATTTTAGTGACAATAATGGGTGATATAGTGTGATCTCTCAGTTGCTAGGAGTCCAACTCTACTGTTAGTAGTACAGACATCAGCTACATCAGTGATAGTGGAGTGGAGTCAGCCATCAGGAGGAGCCACAGTGACTGGATATGTAGTACACTATAGTGACAGAGTTGTTAACAATGCCAGGAGTGTAGACCTACCTGATCCAACCTCCACTAGTCACAGTATCAGAAACTTAACTTGGTGCTCTAACTTCTCATTTTCAGTTGAAACTGCTTCATACCACATCTCAGAAACATTTGCACTTGAATTAGGTGAATTCATGCTTTTTGCTAATACTTTTTATGTATCTGTTTTTTGATTCAGGTGAATCAG